GAGAGAGAGAGAGAGAGAGAGAGAGAGAGAGCAGAGAGAGAGTGTGTGTGTTTTGCCCTCTCACCAGATGGGTTGAGGTCCCTCATGTTAACAGAGGACCTGAGATTGAAGACTCTAGTCTGAATATGTTTGTCATAGAGAGGTTTCTTCTTGTTGACCAATTCCATGACCACCATATCAAATATGGCAAGAACCTCAAGTGGATACCTCACCATCTTAACATATAAATCTTGATCATAATCAAACATGTCTTGTCCATCAATGTTCAATGAGTGGCCTTCCAATTCAAGGGTCTGAATCAAAAGAAACCAAAATACACATCAACAATAAAATATCAACTAAAAGGAATACACATAATAGAATAGTAATTAAAAGGGGTAATAACAAGGAGCAGGGCATTGCAAAAAACATAGTTACATTGAAATCACAACTTCCCAGCATAGGACATGCAACAAAATTTTTACATCTAAAATTAAAGCATTAAAAGTGAAGTAGGGTACCAAAACAATGTCTCTATAAAATGTTGTAGGCCATAGAAAATCTTTTTGAAACTAAAGCAACTTAAATATAAAGCAAATGAAACCATCAGAAGGATGGGGAAAATTTGGACATTTTTATTCTGAAAAGAAAAAAAAAATTGTACATTTTAACTGTGGTAAACCAAGAGCATAAGTAGCATCCATCAGTCATTTGGTCGTAATTTAGGTTGTGGATTCTTATGTTAAGAATGGTGCCTTGCATATCAGAATCCTACAGGGACAAATATTAAAGAAGAATAGAGCCCTTCACCAGAAAACTTTTATTACATGAAGAACTCGAGCTAGAACAACTAAAGAGCTGCCATGACATGCTGTATAGCAAGCTGACCTTGAAATGAACAAAATCACATTTGCTATGGAGTGGTTATACTTACTAAAAAGAAAAAAAAAGGAACGGAGTGGTTATGCCCAGGTTGCAACCGTTAGCTAACTCAGCCACCATTTCCACTCCCTGTGGAAGAGCTACATGGTGATAGTACGAGGGCAGTGCCTCCCCTCTCTTGTGATGCACAGATATGGCAGTGGACGTGGCCTCAGCATCAGTTCTTAGTGATTTTTCAGATGTTCTTGAAATATCTGGTACTTATAGGATACTCATGTTGAAGTATCCATGCATCATATTCCTTTCCATTACCACAAGACAAATTTCATGCTTTATTTAAAGCAGCATTCATCAATTTTACGTTTTTGTTTAATTTCATTTCTTGAATTTGAGCTCACTTGCACACAGATACTTCTAAATTTTTTTCCTCGAAAAACTTTCCTTGAAAAAAAATGGGGCATCATCGTTTTAACATCCACTGGCTGTAGCCAAGAAATACCCGAGTTATGGATGGAAATGTAGAAATGGCCACAGAATGTAACTGCAACACCATATGAATGGCAGCAAACAATCTATTTTTGTCCCACATTTACTTTCTCCTTGATTTTCTAAATTTAATTTCACAACTTAGTTGCTTGTTTTTTTAAGGAATTTTTTATTTCCCACTAAAACTAGTCTCCAAATATATAAATGTACATCTATATGTATCACATCTCAGACCCTACAATAATTGCACATCAACTATGTCATCGATTGCTCCAAAACCTATCATAGCACTACCTTACCAGTCAAGTTGAACACTACATCATCAAACCCCCTTCCATACCAGAGAAAGGGAGAGAAACAATGCCCATTTCTCAGTCAAGTTAAATACTCCATATCTAACCCACTTCACAAACCCCCATGTACATAGTGAAACAATACCCATTTCCCCAAATTATCATCCCACATCCATAGAGAAACCATACCCATTTCCATTAGTCATCATCCCACCTCCAAAACCCCACGACAATATCAAGACTGATAAATAATGTCCACTTCTCTAGCCATCATCCTCAGGTACTGAGGAGGGAACCCAACTTTGAGTCCTCGTCTCCTTCACCATTAAGCCCCAACCCATAATATAAAGAGGGAGCCCAACATTGAATCGTCGGCTCCTTCACCCTCAAGAGAAAGACTCTTGCATGGCCAACTCCTTAACCATCTTCCTCTTATACTTTCTCCAAGCTGTCTGCATAAAGCAAGCTAACCAGGTTTTCTCTAACGAGAATATCATCTAAATGTATGTTGAAGCTTTTTGCCATGGAGACTCTTAAACTGGTTAGCTACCAAAGGTCCTCATCCATAAAGCGAAGGCCTCTACTTCAACTACAGCCCTTGCAGATCGGGTCGAAAAGGGTAAGTTGTGAGTTTTATTCAGAATAAGGGCCCAAGTGAGAACCTCCTCTCCACAAAAATAACCAGCTCAAATGGTGATGGAATTGAAGAAACTGGTTCTCTCACCATTGGAGGTTGAGCTCTCTAGACACCCAGAAATGATAAAGAACATTTCAGTTACTGGATCACCTTCTCTAGCAATGCAAGTGACCTCAGTGCTAAGGGAGGAGACTAGACTTCAAGGAGCTAGTCATCCATTTGAGGTCCAAGCACAAGTGCTGTTGAAAATCCTGGCCAGGATCTTTAGGTAGACCATGAAAGATTGTTTCATCATCAACTCCTATTCAGCCACTTGTATTGGACAAAGCGCCATATACATCTTAGCAAATCTTGGGGAAAGTTGCCAATCCCTAATGCACTCTTTCGTATCTCTCCTTTCCAATCTCCACTCTTCAAGCCTCACGTTAAGAGATTGCAAATGGGTCTGCATGCTGGCAATAAAATGTGCAAATAAGACCAATCATAAACTAGCAACAAATATGGCAAATGCTATCACCCAAATAAATGTGCTTGTTGTCAAACTTCATCCATGTGAACATAGTTGATGCAAATCCCACCAAAGGCAATACACGGCAACATTTATGTAAGCACTTACGAACATGTTGTAGTCATAACTGATGCCCTGATTAGTAGCATTGCAGTTACCAAACACTTATGTGGTGCTTGGCCAAGTCTTGCATTCTGTCTGGTTCGCATGACTACAGAGCAGAAATTTAAGATTTCAGGTTGGTTTCATCCCTATACTGTGACGTCCAGCATGTGTTCTGATATTCGATGGACAGTAGATACCAAGCCACTCCTAAGACATGGCCAACTAGGATGTAAAGAAATAAATTATATGCAGCTCCAACCGAAGCTGTCTGCTGACAGCACCAGTTGCTTGGAAGAGGCATTAAGGGGGACAATAAAATATGATCGAACTAGAAGAGAATGATAAGCTTGGGATTGTTTAGCAGCCAGAATAAGAAGCCAGATGCCAACCTGAGGAAGAGCCAGAGAAGCCAAAAGGTCTATCCAGAAATATGAAATCAAATATCTCTTTGCGATTGTCTAGGCTTCAAGACAAGTTCCCCCCTCAAAAAACTCAAGTCTCAGAGCCACGTAAGCTATCTCAAATTTTATGAACATATGCATGAGTAGAAAATATAATAACAATACCCAAATTCAGGTCCATCTCCAGGTATGATGCATTCCCACCAGATGGCAAGTAAGAGTACAATGTTGAGAATGAGAGCTATTAAACAAGAGATAAGAACACAGTTCCATTGAAGAGTAATCTTGCTTCCTGGATCAAGAATTTGCTTTCTCTATAGCCAATGGTCCTTTGCAATTGAACCTTCCAATCCTTTGCAATTTTCCCAGCTAATCTTCGGAACTCATTGGGTTTTACTGAAGATTTGGGGTCAGAACTAGGGGACGAAAGAACTTTTCCTAAGTGAGATGAATCATCTGATTTCCATGGTAATGAACGACCTTTTACATGTGGCTAAAACCTCACAAGCTTCACTTTCATGAACTCCATATTTGATCATTATTCACTTCCATACAAAATTTGCAAAAGAAGACCCATGATCAAAACATGTTTTGCAATGCTAAATGAGCCTGAAAAAATCCATAAGACAAAACAGAAAAAACATTGTGACCCACAACACAACAAAAACTAATCCCTAGCCCAGTCTCAAGCTCAGCTATTGTCCAAAGCCCAAACAAAACCCACAACTCTCTATTGACTGGGGATCCAGATCAAGAAAAAGAAAGGGCCTTAGAAGTAGAGGACATCCATCTATGCATGAAAGCACGTCTACAGAATTGATTAGTTTAATGAAAAATGGGGCAGTGTTACAGTCATGATGATTTTGTAGAAGCAAGGATTAGGGGTTTTCTACCTGCTCATGAAAGTAATAACTAATACAGCTACTCAGCAGAGATAGGGAGGTAGAGAGAAAGATAATATACAGGTAGCAAAGAGAGAAATTGAACTCCAAAATCACTCTGCACTTTGTGGAAAGACTAAAGAGAAAAGTGTCCCGAAGTAAGAAAAAAATTGCTCTTTTATTTATTTCATCTTCCATTACATTTCTTCTCCTTTCCTAAATACCTCATTCCATAATCCCTAATGAAATTTGCATTAAATACTAATAAATACAACATGCTACTGCAAACTAACATGATTCCATGCAGAACAAAGAAAACACAAGTGCTAATAGTTTGGCAAATTAAAAAAGATAGACCAAATATCACCATCTTAAGAAAAGCCAAAACATCACATCAAAACAAAGAAACAAATAATCAGAAACAAATCCCCCACTCAAAAGAATAAATATCACAAAGAAACTAAAAAATCAAACTTCCACATACGTTATGGACAAATAGCATGTAGTCACAATCAAGAGAGAGAGGGAGAGAGAGAGAGAGAGAGAGAGAGAGAGAGAGACTTAAGAACCATCAGCAGGTAGAGACCTGATCAATAATGCGAATGTTATTTCGCCCTACAAAA